GTTCTATCCGCAGGTGTCACCCCCGCAGCACCCATTGGATGTGGTTCCCGGCCAATGGGAGCTGTGGAGCCAGTGCTTGGGGCAGGGGCAGTGCACGTAGGAGCCAGAGTGGGCACACGCTGTTGCTTCCGGAAGCCACGTGGAACCAAGGCAGGCAGAGAACTTATCTTAGCCCCACTGTGCCGCCAACCGGGGTCACTTTTCACTGGCTGTTCTGGTCAAAAGCCAGATGCCTGGCAACCCCCGAATTGTAGCGGGAAAGGAGGTACAGCAGGGGAAAGCAGGTAGCAGGGCAGGAGGTCTCTAGGGAGAAGTGAGGCTGCACAATGGCTTGTGGAGTTTAGAGCCCTGCAAATCTGCAGACAATTTTTGCAGATCAGATGTGAATACACCTTTTTGTATCCACACAGGGCTCTAGTTACAAGGCAGATAGATAGTGACGGAACCCCTTACTTGCCGGGGTGAGCCTCAAAACACCACGTGTCAATAAGCACACAGAAGAATAAAGGGAACCCCGAGGGTTGTGGAAGTTTCCCCATCAGTGGCAAATTTTAAATCAAGATTGGATGTTTTGGGGATGTTCTATGGCCTATGTTATGAAGGAAGTCAGACTGGCTGATTGCTAGGTCGCTTCTGACTCCAGAATCTATGAAAGACCTATCCAAACTCCCTAAGGGCATGTCTACACTTATCTCCGGAGCAATGGATCCAGCAGGGGTCGATTTATCGTGTCTAATGAAGATTTATCATGTCTAGTGAAGACGCGATAAATTGACCGCCGAGCGCTCTCCTGTCAACTCCGGTACTCCACCGGAACGAGAAGTGTAGGCGGAGTCGATGGGGGAGCGGCAGCAGTCGACCTACCACAGTGAAGACACGGTGGTAAGTAGCTCTAAGTACATCAACTTCAGCTACGCTATTTTCATAGCTGAAGTTGCGTAACTTTAGACCGACTTAAGTTGCCCCACGCCCCGTGTAGAGCAGGCCTAAGCCTATCCCACAAAGCTGTTTGAATGACCACTCTGATTTTGGGGAACTCCAGATATTGAGAGTAACTCCAGATATTTGTGTAAATAGGATCACTTGTCAAGGCCTTTTAGTTGTGAAGATAGATATTCTTAGTGTTATGAATCTTCAAGGATTACAGATGGTAAGTTGGGCACTTTCTCATAATACAAGAACCTGGGGAGACTCAAAAGAAAACTAATGAGGCATTTTTGAACATGAACACACTTCCACGAGATATTGAGGCAAACACCTTAGCAGAAAAGTCCACTACCTTTGTTCTTTTTGCTTCACCATAGAATTGTCACTGAATTCCCATTCCCTGTTAATTTTGCAGCTCTCAGGGCAGTCAGAGTGAAGTCCTCAACTGTTATCGCATCAATTTACCTCCCCTCTCAAATAAATCCCTAAATGCCATGGTTTTATATATTTTTAAAAAGCCAGGAAAATCATGAAATCAATGACTCTCATGACATCCATGAGAAGGGTGAAACCTTGTATGGATAAAGATAAACCCTGTCCTTACATAACATTTAAAACTTGTCATACTCCTTGGACAGTACTATAAAATTGAATGCACTCTGTAATGTACAGAATACTAGATAATAATTCTCTGTAATAAAATGATCTAGTCAGAATAGAATTTGCAAATCATTCAAAAATCATTCTTTCCATAGCTGCCTAACTTCCTATGAGTGTGGGTTTATAATGTCTTCCACATTTGGAAATAATGTCCCAGCATCACAGCATTTTAAATAGTTTGATTTTATCAGTCCCTGCCTGGAGTGAGAACTGTGATTATAACTCTCACACCAATACTTGCCATAAATATCCCTTTCCTACTAACACTGTCCTATTTAGCCTGTTTTTGTTTTTTTTTAAAGTATTTACACACCACTTGGAAAAATACCAACTTTTTAAAAAAATGTGAGTTTACACCAAGCATATTTAAGCTTCTCTCTCTAAAACTGAGTCACGCCAGTGAAAGCTCAAGGAAGGCATGCCAATATGAAACTTCAACTTCTGCTGCTTATGACTTGAACAAGCTCACCCACCTCGATTATAAAGTGCTAAAAAGAGGAAGCCCCTGACAATTAACAAGATGACACATAATTAAGACAATCCACAGCAAAACACATTCTGGCTAGAAAACAAAGTTCTTGGGCTCTGACTTTTGCTTGCAGCAGTGGGTTAAAAAAAAAAAGATACTTAGGGAAAACAACTACAAAGTCAGTCTGTATCTGACCCTGTCTTCACTGTGGAGGAACATGAAAAAAAATCCTATTTCATTTAGGGTAAACCTCCCCATATCACAAGAACAATTGGTAATACAGACATGCCTGGGATGTTCAACATTCTACCAAGCAAACTAGCAGCAACAAAAAATGCAGTTTTCATGCAGCAATTTTTAGATCTTTTTTGTACCTCTGGAATTTCTGACCTTGTGTGTCTATCGGCAGATCTGTTGGGGGCACAGCAGTTGTATTGGTCCAGCTCTTTTTTCAGATTATTTTTATCTCACTATGAGGGACATCTTTGTGAGCTCTGAACACTTTTACAGCTGTTAGGATGCTAATGAGAACTTCATGTGTACCCAGCACAAGTGCTCTCAAGAAGAAAACAAATGTCAAACTGAGGTATGTGGAAGACGCCATAAATATGTCTTTGAATGTTTACCATCTGGAACAGTAGATTACATTTTGACAAGAAGCTGGACTACCCTGTGGGCATTGTCTTTTAAACAGCCCACTCATTAGAAGGGAAGGGAAAACATGATTTAATGTCCCCACTTTCTTCATAAGCTTTTCTGATAGTGTTGGGCAAACTATTTTTCCATAGTAAAATAATAAAAAAGATGGAAGTATATATATCCAAACATTTTCTTAAAAGATTAGATCTGATGACCCATCTGACAGAAATCCATGGAGAAGGCAGCCTTATAATTAGACTGTGACTGCAGAATGTGCAGTGCAATTCACATTCCTGAAACTGCTGCACCTTGTCTTTGTTAGCAAGCTAAGCCATATCTTCATGGACAGAAATTGTTTTAAGGAACTTCACATCAACCAAAAACAGGCAGAATAAAGTGAAGAAATCAAATTTAAAGTTAAAGTAGAGTATTCCTTGTATAGGAGGTCTTAACACAAGCCTAGTTTGGTATTTTTTTTTTTTTAAACTGCAAAAGTTTCCACTGCTCATTAGAAAGATAAACTGGGCTGAGTGAAAAGTCAATATGCTCCAATTTCTTCACTCAACCCCAGTCAGGTTATGCAAAAAGAAAAGGAGTACTTGTGGCACCTTAGAGACTAACCAATTTATCTGAGCATAAGCTTTTGTGAGCTAAAGCTTATGCTCAAATAAATTGGTTAGTCTCTAAGGTGCCACAAGTACTCCTTTTCTTTTTGCAAATACAGACTAACACGGCTGTTACTCTGAAACCAGTCAGGTTATTCTGTCTTATTAGGATTTAGTTAATACTCTCTTTAAAATTGCTGTGAGGATACAGTTTTATTAAAGAATGTGTTTGAAAATACAAGCTGAGAACAATCTGTAAAGCGTCCAAACAGTCTGTTCGACTTTTTTTTTTTTTTTTTTTTGGTTTGAGGCAAAAATATATGTGCAACTTGAAACATGGTTTTGTGGGCACCGTTACACAGTTGAGTGCCAAAATCACAAAGTACCAGCCATAAATCCCCTTGCTCAGTCTACTAAACGGATCTTATTTCAGAACAGATTGTATACAGAATATCTCACCTGTATATGGTGAGGACAGTGTTAGATTTCTTTCACAAGTGGGAGAAACCAATTATTCATGAGCACCACAGGTGTGAGAGAGTTACTGCATGGAAGATCTGTCGTAGTGGCAAAAGGAACACATCATTTAGTTACTCCATAAGGGAAGACTTTTAAAAGGATTTATTTTAAAATAAGCCACTTCAGCCTTCAGTACCTGTCAAAAGAAAGACTAGAGGAATAAACTGGGAAGATTAATTCTAAAATATCCAGAATTCAATTTGTGATCACTTTTTTTGTTTTTTTATTTAATTTGGTGGCTTTTTTTCTCCCCACATATCAGTGAAATTAATAGTCATTAAATGAAAGTGATAGTAAGTACTTACAGTGACTAATTTCTAATTAAATTTCTGCCTTTCCTCATGCCTAATGGTAAAAATCTCTTTACATTTAATTAACACTTCAGATAGCCTGTTTAGAATCTATAAATATAGCCAGCCTTTAATGATCCGTTATAGTGATACAGTACTACTTAGTTTTCAGTGACTTGTAAAACTTTCACAAACAGATCTGCAAATGAATTACATCCATCTGCTCTGCTGCAGCTGCAAGCGCAGTATTACATTGTATTCTTTCACTTCCTCCGTTTTCTGCTCCTTTCCTAACTTTAAATCCATGTGTAAGCCAAGCTAACTATACTCCAATCATCAGGAGCCCAGCCAGGTCTCTATAAAGGAGTCTTCAAACTTTACAGACATATCAAATGTACTTTCAAAACATTTTGGTTCGTTTCACAATGAGGCAGACAGTCCACGCTGCATAAAAGCAGTTAAGCATCTTGTCAGAATCTCAGAAAAACCATGCTAGGATTTCCCCCCCCCCCCCCCCCAATAGTTTTCACTAATTCATTAATGTAAACATAGAAATGAAACTACTATGATAGCACTGACGATCTCTCACTTACTGAAGGTTTTTAGCACATGTGTGAGAGCGAGGGGGAGACATTAAGTAGTAGATACACTGCTCCAAACGAGATTTTCTAATCTACACCTTCAAAAGCGTGACCTTAACTGCATTAAGAGTGTTAGTTCTATGAAGACAGCCAAGCATCAAGCTATGGTCGCAGTTATCTGTCAGCCATACAATAGCTGCATTGATAAGGCAGCAGCAACTGGCTTTGACAAGTGTGCTGTGCTAGCATTCCGTTCAAAACCATGAAGGGGAAGGGGGTGGGGAGAGGCATTAAATGTCTTTTACTTTACCTGAACAAACTGCTTTTCTTTTAGCTGCTGAAAATGAATCCTCCCTCTTCTCCCAAAAGCTAAGTAGCTCTTCTTTTGCTTGCAACTCACACTTGCAGAAGACCACACAGCTCCAGCAAGGCAGCCTCCCTTCCCTAATCCCCACTCGAATGTGATGACACACACTAACCCCAACCATCTGTTGAAACACGTCCTCAAGCACTCAGCACAGCGGTGTGTCAAGACGGGCTGCCCAATCCAATCGCTGGGGCTGGGTGTCTCTTAAGGAGCTGGAGGCAGAGACAAGGACAGAAACTGTAGCTCTGAGAACTCTTAGCAAAGTAACCTGAGATTTTGGGAGAGAAAAGGGCGGCTATAAAGTAGAAGTGGGAGGTGCTGGTGGGAAGGTAGAGGGAGTGGATTGTTCTGGTGGCCAGTTGTGTTATTTCTCACAACTCCTTGTATTCCCAAGGGACCACTGGGACCCTCACAGTAGGATGCACAGAAGCAGGACAGCAACAGTTTTTATTGCAGGTCTATTGAGGGCAATCTCCTCTGAGAGACACTTTCCTAAAAAGAGATAAAAGATGCAGCTTGAGATCCTGATAAAGTGTTAATGTAGGAGTCGTTTGCACGGAAATGAGACATTTGCATGTTGAAATCCAAACTCCCACCTTCCCATGATTACACTGTGGCTGCCTCCAGCATTCCTGGGGAAAAGAAGGGAGAGGCAGCTAAAAAGCACAACGTTTTTATACAGCATAGAGGTCTGCACTGTTTACCACAAGTCTATGCTTCTCAATATTTAATGCTGATAGGTGGATTTCTTAAACAGCACATTTTCAAGGGCTAAAAGTTGGTTACTCCTATTATTTTCAAAATTGTCTTCTTGAACATGCAAGGTTTTTGTAACTATTAAAACTAACAGCAGTGTCTCTTCATTCTGTGATTAAAAGCACATTCCAAATAACTCATGGACTACTTTCCTTTAAAGTTTTATTTTCCAGATTCTGATCAAACCAGGACAGTGTCCATCCCACCCCACCCCCACTCTATTCTGGCTGACTCTCCCACCCTTCTCTCACACTCACTCTTTTAAATGGAGATGTCCTCAGAAATTTTAATTAAGATAATGTTGAAATAAGAAACGGTACAGAGTTCAAGCATAGAAGTTTCTGGTTGTCAGGGGATAAGGTACAGATTATCAAGGGGTGTAAAATTCGATTTAGGAGCTGGTGGAGTAAGGATTACATAATAATCTGCAATCTCCCTGACTGGGGGTAAAAGTTTAACCGGTCAGAGTACAGACATTGAGATATGGGGTAAGTTATCCATACAACGGCTACGTTCAGTAGGCGGAGTATAGTGAGTGGATACGATGGTGGGGATGGGTCTACCCTCATTTGGTGGGATTTAATGTTTAGTGGGTTTATGGTTCCAGTTCATACGGTCCGATGGGGAAAGCCTCTCAGTCTCTTTCCCACAGTAGGTGCACAATGTCGTACCGGTTCATTCCTCCTGGTACTGTCTGTGGCCGGTGATGTGCTCGATGTAGATGTCCCTGGACCATCGGATGGTGTCCGAGACCATGAGGCGCCGCATTTCCCTTACATGTAAGCATTCTATAACCAGTACATGCAAGTTCTCAGGCATCGGGATTTGGGATAGCTGGGTTCTATTCCTGGCTCTGCCTATGTGACCTTGTGCCAATTTCTGTGCCTCAGTTTCCTATCTATAAAATAGGGATAGTGATACTTCTCTACTTAAGGGATGCCTTAAGGATAAATTCATTAATTTATGTGAGAAACTCAGATACTACTGATAAGTGCCCCATAAAAGCCTATACAACAAATAGATGCTTCCTTCCTTGTTCACTGAAATACGATGGTGAGAGAGAAACAAAACAAAAAACCACCCAAGGATCTTCTACTTTGTTACCAAGTGCCTGACTTGCCGTTTGCATTAAATCTACATTTTACATTATGACAGATGTTGCATTTCTTTGAACTGGGAAAGGAAAAGCTAAAAGGAGAAGTGTTGTTCTGGCATTAAAAGTTATTCCAAAAAGTGCTAAAATCCAATGTGTAGAAAGGTTTGCAACTGTAAACAGTTTTAAAGCACTCTGCACAGCCATCTAAAAGAGAATATCTTTAAAGCCCAGAAAGGTTGATTTGCTTGTTCTTTAATACCTTGGGCATATTGTTGGAAGCTATTTTAGAATCAGTAGTGGGGGGGGAAATGAAATATTTTATAAAACATGAGTTATAATTTGTGCTCAGTTAGTAGTTGCCACAATTCACCTGTAGAAAGAAAAGGAAAAGAAAAGAAAAGAAGCACTAGAGAGTACAGATTGCATTTGTTCAAGTTCTTCCCAGAAGTGATTATATGGTGTCTGTTTCAGCCTATTAAATTGAAACTGCCTTCACAGATGTTCGGTATTCACTAAAACACTACTCCTTAATCTGCTAAATCCAGAAAAACAAGCAGCAGAACAATATTTTCAACAATGCTAAGTGGCAAGGCAGGGATGAAACTACTGTCCCCTTGGGTATCATAAGATTTTAAACAGTGACAATTATTGCTTCAAGGCAGGTTTTTGGTTATTTTATCCTACCAGACTGAGGTCTGGAAAGAGTCTGAACAACTTTGTAGATTCAGAAAACCCTGGAGGCATTATTAAACTAGTTTGTGTTCTCTTTTAACTAACAAAAGTAAGAACCTAAGAAACTGCAAAAGTGTTGAATAATAATTTTACAGTATTGTATTAGTAATGCAAAATGTATTAAAAATACAGAACAGTCAGATGTGGAACATCAAAGACACAAAAAACAATTTATTATATATCATATATATAGATTCTGAATCTTTGCATAAATCATTGATCATCTGAGGACTCGCTCTGTTCTATGTCTGCCATATGAGAAGCAACTAAATGTTAATATTTGAAGCTAGCTTTAGTTAAAATTGTTATATTTCGTTCTAGCAATATGAAAAGCAATTATGTACAATACAAACATTTTGATATAATGCTTATGTACCTATGTAGACATACCCATTATATGTGTGTACATATACATATGGTAGGTATCTTACACACATACTTGGACCTAATTCTGTTATCATTTCTTTATATCAGTCTAAATCAGGTGTACATCCACTGATGTCAGTGATGTTACAACAGGGTAAAAGTGGTATGAGATCATAAAGAGGACTCACAATTGTGTATTTTACACACATGAACACACAACAGTCTTCAAAGAGCTTTTTCTCTTAAAAAAAACTTGAATTACAAACTTTCACCTCCAAAAACAAATTTAGTTACAACCTTTAAGCATTATGCATGATCATGTTTTCAAATAAAAAACTGTTGCTGATTTTGTATGATTTTGTAGGATAACGTAACTGCTTCTCCTGTGACTCTTCTAGTTTGCAGTAGAAGTGACTGTTTATATCAACTATACTTTTCCATTATTTCCCCTGTACCCCAACTACCATCTGCAAAGAGTTTAGGTTTTAAAAGTGAAATTAAAGCTGCACTGAAAGAACTGTACCTGAAATATTGTTAAAATAATGCATCAGAAAACACATTCTCAGGTTGACTCTCAAAACAGTGAACTCCTTGCAGGGTCAGACTGACCCCACTCAGATAAGACTTGTAACAAATTGAATAATGCACTGTTGTAAGTAACTCAAGACAGTCCTAATATGCAAGATTAATTGTAGGTAACTGTGATATTGAAAAATAGTCACTCCTGTTTTATTCCCACAGTTAACATTTCTCTTCACTTATTAGCTCCAAATAGTTTCCATGGTAACAAACTAGCCCTTGTAAGTCAGTGCAATGAGCTTCACTCATCTTTGTCTAGACTCATCCCCTCCACAGATGGCATTGGCAGTTCAGTTTTGTATATGCATGTACACACACACAAGTTAAATGTAATTTATGGTAAGCTTAAAGTTTTAAACTCTCAAAAGTAACAAAATGCAACCTTCATGGTTCTTACAGAGAGCTTAATTCAACCATACTACACATATGCATGAGACCCACTCTTGCCTTCACTGTATCCCTATAACTGTTGTTGTAGTCAATTAGACTTCTACATACATATATGAGGGTAGAACTGGTTCCCCTGTTTATTAAATTACAGCTAAAACACCACGGATAGATAATCCAGGTATTACTTGGGTCAAATTCTGGCTTCAGACTTGTACACACACTCCTGTTGAAATCCATAGGAGATGCATGCATGTATCCAAGAGTAGTGTGTGCCCATTCAGTAAGTCTTGGTCTCCATGTGTCCTGTGGGAGAGTTAAAGTTCCTAAAAACTTCAGCCAAGATTTTAAAAAGATTTTAAAAGCTTAGGTACCTGAAGTTGGGCTCCTAAGTCAAAGTAGCCTGAATTTCACAAGCATGGAGCACACAGTAGCTCCTACTGAAGTCAATAGGAACTGCAGGTGCTCAGTACCTTTGAATAATCAGGCCACTTTTACTTTAATCCATATTTAGGCACCAAAGAGACCAGTTTTGAAAATTCTGGCACACACACACATTTTGTACGAGGGATGTGTATGTGTGTGTACATCTCCCTCGCCCCCCCCCCGCCCTCCCACATACAAAATAAATATTTTGAAAGAATGCTATTAAGGATAGATAGTCAAGTATTCAGTTTAGGAATTGCCAGAATTAAAATTACTTCTCAGTACAAAGGATGGCTGGTATTAACATAGTTGATTTTTTTACTGTAGTTTCCTAGGATTTATGTTATGTTTTGGTTTCTTCTTCAAAAATAGAAAAAGAAAGGAAAATAATAAAAAATAACTAGTTATATTAAGTGCAACTGTAATCGTCTTCAGGGTTGAAATGTAAGAAATAGAACATGGGTAGATGGAAAAGTGGGCAGAGTGCAGGTGAGGTGGTCAAAAGTTCATAATAAGGTCAATTTATCACAGGGCTCTGCAATTTATCAAAAGATTGCCACCACTACCACCCCGACACAGGAGAAGGTCAAAGGAGAACTGCAGTGGTTGTCAATCCCAAATTTGTGTTGTTTCACTTGCATCATCTGCACTTTTTCTTAGTTATTGCTTTCCCCTCTAGTAACTGATTGCTTAGTAATTTATTTTCAAATAAGCCAATACTATACAAAAAACTAATTAAGCAAGAGTGCCTCTCACATAAAGCTGTTCACTTTAACTAAGACATCCATTAAAGAAAACCTGCCAAACAACCAACCAAAAATCACTTATTTGTCATGTCATCCTTAAGAAACAGAAAAAGCTAGCAAGACTTTTTCCCAGACTAGGGACTACCATGAAGATTTAATGTACTTGAGAAACTGTG